TGAATGGCAACGGTCATTCGTTCAGAGGCTAGGACATTGGCGACATTGCCCCCGGCAAGGTTGGTGGAATTGATGGCGGATTCTTGGAGAAGTTCAAAGCAAAGGTCTCTCCCATAATCGAAATGTCGCGACAAGACAAAGTGAGTGATGTATATTAGCGGGTCAACGCCGTCGTCTTGAGGAAAGATGGTAAGCCGATTGGGCGGGAAAAAGTGTTTGAGTAGATTATCCAGCTTGGAGGTAGTCGCGGAAGTGGATTCTTGGCATCGATAGAGGTATGTCCACATCAAGCGGATGACACCATTCATGACCGGAACCCGAAGAGACTTCTCCTGCAGAATTATTTAGATGATGAACGACTGATCGATTGAATTACAACGATATACCTTGAGCTTGGACAAGCTTGTTTCGAAGCACGATACCCAATGCTTCCGGAAGTAGCTTTCTGGAGCAACACATAAACTGGTGATTACCAGAGGAAACGCCACGTTCCAATACCGCGGTTTTGACATCATCTCTCTTGCTTTTGGATAGATAATCTCGATCGCCTTGGCCCACATGGGATTGTTAGTTTCAGCCTGAGCAGTCTATAAATTGCATTTTGAGATCGAGTTCTGGCGATCTCATGATTAGTCGTACCTTTCCAATTGGATGCAAGATCTGTACCAGAGTCTCAGCAAATGCGGACTTCAATTTGAAACCATGGGCGTGGGCAAAAGATTTCGCGAAAGACTCCAAAAACTCAGCGCCTTCCTCAAAAGCTTCTGGAGGCCAGACCTAGAGAATTCCTGTGAGGCCCTAACCTTGGTGGAAAGCGAAATGATCTACCTTCAATTGCACGTGTTTGATACCTCTGACGAGATTCTCAAATTTCATATCATCCTTGGTAACTTGGCCCTGAGCAACCGGCCCAAGTTCCGAAAGGAATCGATCTGTAATGCTCACAAATCTTTTCGTGAAGAGGACGTTGGTTCTAAGCTCAAGTCAAGCTTAACCATTCGCTTACCTGACGTTGGCCAAATGTCCCAACATAGTGGCATATAATTCTGCATTAGTACGATGATTCGCAGATTGCAATAGAAGCTTGAGGTCCGGTTTCTTGAACTGTTCGAAAGTGGTCTTCTCTAGACTATAGCCCAGGGCCTCCCCTAGCCCATCTTTTGGTAGCGACTGTAGCACTGCGATTAGAGCACGGCACATGATATAAATCGCTGCTAGCGACTTGCGCTCGTTGAGCAGATTAGGAACGTCCGTCGTGCGCACAGTACGGACGGCACCAGGAGGAGACTGAGCCATGTGAACCTTGATGATGTCCGATCCAACATTCTCCACTTGACTTTTTCGCCATCGCATAACGGAGTCGACAACAGGCTTCGCATGCTTCTGTGCAATCTTTCCCAGAGAATTTAAAATTCCGTCGAACGCCAAATCGACACCAGGTCCCATGAAAAGGGTCAACAGAGGTTCTTGTTCCTGCGATCAATTTAGAACAGAAACTGTCAACGAAGAATCATGGCGCACCAAAATTTGCCGTAGAAACGTATCAATTTTCCCTTCAGCCAGGCTTGCAAACCGGATGAAGACCGCGTGTAGTGCAAAGTCTGAAGGAGTCTTAGGATCCATGACCACCTTGTCTTCTTCGAAATCTGGCGTCTCTGACCGAACCATTCCATTTGGAAATCGCGGCAGGGGGGGAGGAGAGGATGAAAACTGCCCATGCCCATCGCTACCAGTATCAGATATATGGAATATGGAACCGGACTGAGAATGGTACGACTTGGCGTAGGAATGGCTTTTGGATCTAGTAGACGGCAAACCACGCATATATCTAGGTTCGGCAGAAGCGGGGGTAGCTGGTCTGCCAAATTGGGGGCTCATAGCGGGTGGAATACCCTTTGCAGAGGTTGGCATCGGCGAAACATTGTTCAAGGAGGAGGTGGAGCGGTTGAAAGCATTCTTCAGCACAGAATTAGGCTGATAGTCAAGAGCCGGTACGGGGGGTAGCTCCGTGTTCTTACCGCTCTTGAAAGCATTCCTCAAGGAAGCAAAAGAAGACTTTTTGGGAAAGCTGGAAGAGTTGGATACCGCGATGGAGGAATGTGACGAATGGACAAAAGAGGTCTGGGACCTGTTAGGATATCGCGCAGTAACAGAACTCGTGGAGTCGACAGACGTGACGGAGTCCCCTCTAGCATGGGCGCTGAAGTAGCTTCTGTTATCCGCGGTCGGCGTCATTAGCGTAGGTGAATCCTGGCCTGAACCATTGGTGCTCGCGCCAAATCCTCCTCCAAATCCAAACTGGTTCCCAGCAGATCGACCGAAAGGGATTGTCGAGGAGTTGTAGTCGTCATCCTCAAAATCTGTTGAGGATTCCAGTAAAGGACCAGCAAATAACAATCAAGGAAAACGCACCTGGAATCGTAATCTGAATTCCTTCAGACATCCTCAGTCGTCAATCAGTCGTCAATTGCGGGTATACCAATCCTCCCAACACGTCAGAGCCTCCCGTGCTGCCTCTGGCAGCGTCAAGCGACGTCAAGTCGATGTCGGATGCAGTGCAGCAGTAGGTAAGGAAGATGCACAGAACTTTTCTGCCGGTTACGGTTGATGCCTCCTCTGGTAAACACATGCAAATTCTGATTCTATGTGGGTCCATGTGTATTTATTTATTGTGCGTTTGCCTCCGGACCACCACCCTATGCACGATACGATATGGAGGCCTTCTTCGATAACAAGAACAACGTTGTCAATGCCCGAATTCGCTCCTCTGTAGATGAATCTGTGCTGTATACCTTGAAGACGACCTTCAACTTTCGCGGACGACATCTGACCATTCTTCAAGACGCCAATCCAGGGCCAGGAGGCGTGGTGACCGTTGGGGCAATACACTGGCAGGACAGGATTATGGAAGTCCTGGGACACAAGAAGAAATTCTCCGACATCAAGAGACACGCTGGCAAACCCTTTCGCAAGTGAGTCGTTCAGTGCGAGCGACATGTCCTTTCCTTATTCGCTGCTTGCTTCACAGATGCAGATACTGGAAATGGGAAGAAGGCAGAAATGAATACTCGTTAAAGTATAACTATGAAGATTGGAAGGTGCGCGTATTGTTCACCATGTCGGCCAACGTTACATGTGTCGTCCAGGCTATTCTGCCAAATGACGAGGTCGCCGGAACTTTCGCTGTTCCGTTTAGGCCCCATGTGTTCTCCAAGCCCACGCCGACTACGCTCGAGCTTACTCGGGAGGGGCTTGCGAAGGACGAGGTGTTTCTCATATTGATTTTCGTGTATTCAGAAGCCAAACGACAGGACCAAACAGTAGGCTCGTCTTCTTTATTGCCGACCCAAATCTGATCGCACTCGTGTAGAACAGCTCTGTGGGCGCTGGCTCAGAGGGCTGGTAATGATGATAATGACGGACACTAGATCTCTTTACTTACATGGACCTTTTCTGTCTCTCTTAGTGTACGGACATGCGGACTTTCATAATGGAACGGTGCATCTGTAGTATCCTCATTTCTCAACCAACTTTATATCCTATGACGATACCCTCTCTTTCACAAATACTCATATTCTTCACGGAGTCGGAGCGAAAAGAGCCACAGTAGCACAGGCAGTGGAGCATCTGTACAGGCATGTAAGCGCAATATTAATATTAAAGATGAAACCACGCACGTTCCGAGCGAAGCATTGCAGGCGAGAATAACAGCAGGTGCTGCAGCCGCTGCGACGACCGTTCCAAACGTAGCTCCAGCGGCCGCATAGCACGCGACCGCCATGGTGTTACAACCTACATATCTCGGGCCATCAGATAGCGCCCACAGATGAGTCACCTCTGTACCTACCAGTTTGGCAGATGCCATATGCAATGGGGCCTGCATAGGCCTGCGGCGCAAGGACCAATGATGTGGCAAGACATGCGAAAGCTCGAGAGAGGCGCATAATTGTCAGTGGTGTAGTAGTCGAACAGTTGGGAGTTATGTACTTGCAATCGAGGTATTCAGCGCCTTATATACGACTACAACATGGTCAGCTGTCTTGTATCGTCCAATCATCTCGAGGATAATAATAATTCTGGTAAGCGCGCCGAAAAATGAATTGTAGCGCTTAAGTAGATGGAGCCGAATGAATTCCGCGCCTAAGAAGCATCAGACATCAACTTCAGTTACTCCATATGTATAACGCCGCCTGGCTGAGAACAAGGTGATAAAGTCCAGGCGTAAGATGTGAGTACAGCAAGGAGCAGGAAGCTGTGCCGAGTAAAGTAAATGACCACTGCTTTGGTGTGAAGGCCGTGCTAGGGGTGCAGCCATCTGGCAAGACTAGTAGTAGTGAACAGCCTTCATATAACCTCAATCACCGCGTGGCGCCTGTAGGTTCTGTATAGCATGCGAGTACAACTTCTTATGATCGAGCGCCCCAGATCTCAGCTCTTGCCACTACCGCCTGATTGATAACAATCCGCCTAGTGCAAGCTGGACGCTGATGCTCAAAATCGGAGATGACGATCAGAGTCAGTGATCAGTAAAACGATGAAGCAAGGCAGCAATGGTCCACGAACGGATATAAAGCACTTCCAACAAAGCTACTGCCGTCCTCCGCGCCGAGCTTTGAACTCACCTTCCATGCCAACTTAGTCGATCACAATTCCTCGACATCAGCCTATAGTCAAGACATAGAAGCGTTATGTCTAGCTCCATGGATCCTGATAGCAACACTATACCTCTCGTGCTTACTACACTACGTAGCAATGAATCAATCTTCCCCTCTTCCCATGCTTGTTCAGTCGGGACTCGGAGGAATCATACTCATTGCGGCTCAAATGATGCAATTCTTCATGGAGTTTGCGAAAAAAAGAGCCACAGAGCTTTGAGCAGCAGGACACCTGAATACGTATAAGTATAAGACCGATTATAAGGATGCGAGTGCGAAGTACAGATTCCTGCAACTGCTCTAGATAACTGTAGCTGATTAGGTAATTATCATTATCTATTATTAGTGTCGATGGCGTAGCTGGTTATCGCATCTGTCTAACATAAAAATGTAAGGTCCTCAGTTCGAACCTGGGTCGACTCATTTGTAGTTGATAAAACTTCTTTTTTTCCCGTGTGTTGACGACTCAGACGGTCCACGGTAGCACGGCCGCCTGGTGCTGCTTAGATGTCCACAATAAATGATTAATGTGAAGCTAGTATATCCATTTGAACATAGGAAGGTTCGACTCGAAACCCTTTCCGAGCTGTGTATTCATTTTAAACCATAAATTACCGCCTGGAAAAATTAGAGACCAGAATATTTCTGATGAAGAAGTCGCGCGTCTTTTACATGGCAGAGTTGTTTTTCATAGTGGAATGCTTCCAGCGACGCGTGAAAAGCAGATTGTTACGGTAGCATTAATCGTGGGAACGGATGATGCCGCCATTTCCTCAAATCCGGCACCTGCCAGTGCCTCGTAGCTCTCTCCTTCAGAGTCCTCCTTTGCTCCTCCTTGGAGCCGACTGTGCGGCAGTTTAACTACCCCATACTTTTGTATTTTATGCGGTGAAAACAACTGAGAAAAGTCTCCAGCTATACATTAGGCATGCGTAATCGGGACATCCAACATTCTCATAAATTATCATAACCATGACTCGTGGATGGCGGTGATTGCTCTTCTCGCCATCATCTATCTGTAAATTGAACGTCAAACATGCCCAGCTCAGCTATGTGTTCCTCTTGGATCTCGGGCCATGTCTCCACGCTTTTAATGACTGTCGGAAGTTTTTCGGCAACTCGGGCCAACGACACCGCCGCAAGGTCGCGAGAAGAGCGCGGTATAAAATAGCCGTTTAGACCCAAGCTTTTTCTCCAAAATGTCTCTCATTTCTACGCTGTAGCTGCTTCTGACCTTGGGTAGTGCGTTCTGTCAAGAAAGGTATGGCATAATGTAGCCATTATTCCGACAATTTTTTCTTACCATACGTATAGCTCCACTACTTTCATTGTATCCATCAGTATAACTGAGCAGGGCTATCGAACGATACCTATTTCGTAAGGTCTTTTCACTGGTGTCCGGGAGGTTGACTTGACATTATTGTATTCAAGGCTGGGCACACCTCCTCGAGAGTTCAATCTCTGGCTTGACACAGGCTCAGATCCTACATGGGTTCTGGCCCAATCGTGTGTCGATTCGTGCTCGATTTCGGCCGCCAGTCGTACGGCATATATGCCATCTGAATCTTTGACTTATAATGCCACGGGGGAGACTCTCGACGTTAACTATCTCGGAGGCGCCGTTTCCGGGTACATTTCTCTTTGAATGACCAACATTGTGCTCACTGAAAAGACAGCACAATATTTACTGATACATTGTCCATCGAAAACACTTCTACCGGAGTCTCCACACGAGTCCTCCTCGCCAACTACTCGAATTGGGTATGGCTCGACGCAGATGGAATGCTTGGCTTGGCTTTTCCTCGCGCAGAGTAGGTTTTTCATTTACCCGAGGCGAGGTTTACTCACAGCGGTGTAGGGATGCCGTCCATGCCTCCCTCCTTGAGAGTCTCTTCAATCCAGAGATCCTGGAAGCGCATGAATTTGCCATTTATGCCGGACAAGAACTCTCGCCAAACAACGGCGTCGTCCAATTCGGTGGCCACTCCACCGAGTACAACAGCACGGACGTGACCTACTTCAACGTTCAGCGCTACACCGACTACAACAATGAGCTTATTTATTGGTCCACCTATATCAATCGTGTCGACTTTAGTCTGAATACGAACGGGAGCATACAGGCTAATACCATATATGTACAGAATTATGCGGTGTGGGACACTGGGTCGTCTTGGGTAACCGTGCCGGAGGCTTACATCGAGGACATCTATGCAGGCATTGGAATGAACTATACCTTCATTAAGCAGGGCGGTCGACCGTTATGCGAGGATCTTCGGAAATTGGACTTCAACATGACCCTGATACTTCCGGAGGGTACGATCACCATCCGCCCTGCAGACCTGATTGCGCCGGGATATACGGAGGAACAGTACTGTTGGCCTATGTTCGAGCCGTAAGGATTTCCCCTACAACTTTAGTCTAGTTCTTTCATTGACCGGCTCCTCAGAACCTCCGGCAACGGATGGCTCGTCGGTATGCACCTTATTCGTAATTTTTACACGGTGTGGGATTTGGGTGGCTGGGGGATATCAGACAACTTACAGCCACGGCTTGGGTTCGCAGAGTTGAAGGCTGAGTATCATCCTTGAGCATAGGCTCAGCTACAGCATGATTGAAATATAATTGACACCCACAGCATGGCCGCCTTGCTGTTCATCCATAAACTTACCATAGGACTGCCTCTTCCTTCTGTAAATTTGACACCGGTTTGTCAGGAGTCGGCGGGACTGCCCCACAAGAACTAGTCACAACTCCGCAGAATAAACATTACTGCCTTGAAAGTTGAGCATCATCTCCGCTGGCGTGGTCGGTGTTGGGGCTTTCATTTTCCAACTAGACGGGACCAGTATCTGTTGAGATGCCCAGAATTGCACTCGCCCAAGCGAAGATTCATACGTGAGCAGTTGCTACATGTTTGAGACGTCGATCTTCCAGCTGGATAGCCAGGTTTACTGACGTCGGGGATGTGATTTCCCTTCAGAACAATGATACCAGCATCCAAGATGTACAGTAGCGGAGTCCAGACATCTAAGGTCAACTAAATAAAATAGTATTCTTTAGTATGTGGAAACACATCGGGTACAATTTGCCTGGAATCTGTTGAACGCACTCAAATGCTACATGGCTAATCCTCCCAAAGGTTATCTCTTCTTGTACAACGCGTGCTCCAATAATCCTAACGCCAGACTTGCAGATCCCCAGGAAGACATAAACCCATATCCACCATGCCTGCACCGTAGAGTGTGTTATGACGAGTCCACAAAATGATCAAAAATAAATGAATCTTACCCATAATTCAGCACCAAAGGAACGGTCCCGCTCAGGTCCACATCGATCCGAATGCCTTGCTTTCTTCCCGGTCTCAAACCGCACCGATCTTCGATGATGATAGGTCCTATGTCCTCCACCCTCGCTTCCCTGACCGCCCGTACTTCCGGGGGGGCGATTTTCGGATAGATCTTGAGAACACGTTCCAATACCTCCTTACTCGTTTCTGGGCGCGCAAGGGGATACCAATCATCCTTTACGAATGTCCCCCCAACGACGACATCCCCGCTGCGTCTGGGGATGACATAACTCATCGGCCCGTCGTAGGTATGAATACATTCATCAACCCACGGCGCCTTCAACAAGATGGTCTGCCCACGGATCGCGATTACATCTTTATCCTCCACTCCACCTAGGAACCTTGCTCCGAGGCCAACGCATGCGACAACCGCGCCTGGCTTATATGAGTTCTTTGCACCGGTGAATGGGCCCACACCGCCTTCCATGACCTGGGACACATGCTGGACCTGTCCGCGGACTATAGCACCCCCATGCGCAAGAAATCGAGATAGTAAATAATTGAGATATATCGGCACGTCAATTGAGAAGGTGCTGAATGACACGCCCTCAACAAATCCTTCGGGAAGTTCTCCAGGATCCGTGTATCGAAACTATAGGGTGAGTTTAATATGCCTAGATTCGAGAGTGGGAGTAGTAGAAGCGTACATCTGGCATAGACTCTAAGAGGTGTGGCTTTGGTCTTGATTCACCATAGTATGACTTTTTTGTGAGTCGCTTGAAGCATCTTTCGGCTTCACTACCTGGCGCAGATAAGTCCCACATGATCTTGAAGGTTTCATTATCAATTTCTTGAACGCATCGTGCAGCGTGAGTGTTAACGTCGGGCTTATCTCTGGAACGGTAAAACCGACCTGATTGTTTCGGGTGCGCTTCGTCGACATAAGCTTGAGAGCTACCGGAATGTATGGCTCCCTAGCACGGGATCGTACTTCGCGTGCGTACAGATGAAATACAGTACCCACCGCCCATTGGCTTGTGTATCTGATGGTCAACGGATCGCTTGGTAATGTCTCCGCGATAATGACGACATGGTATTTCCCAGTTTCTTGTATCCGTAAGGCAGTCGTCAGACCAATCACACCTAAGAAACAGATTAACGTCAATCAAAACTGACGGGGCCTACTTACCTGCACCGATCACAACGATCTCTTTCTCAGAGTCGATGGCCTGAGAGTGAGATGCATCGACAAGATAGAGGAAAGTACACGCTTCCAACTAAAGAAGACCAAGACCCGGCCGCGGCATCATGATAGGCACTTCGTTCAAACCGATTTCGAATTCCTTTACTTATAGGTCTTCAGACCCTTGATACTTTCACAATCAGCATAAGGCCTCAGCATCTTAGATCTCCTTCAGTGCATTCTCTAGAAGCTCCGTAGCAGCAAACGCAGACCCCCACGACGATTGGAATCCCTGGCCACCATGTCTAAGTAAGGTCGTGCAGGATTAGCGTCCGATAACTCAGAGAAACAATCGACATATTACTGACCCATAATTGCTGACGAGAGGAACTTTCTTTCCTTTGTTCTCTGTCCATCGGACATCAAGCCGTATGCCACCCTTCCTTCCGGGTCTCAAACCACACCCTTCTGAAATGATGATTGGCCGGACATCGTCGATTGTAGGTGCCCGTTGTGCGCGGATCTCTGGCGGTGCGAGCTCCGGGCACAGTGCAAATGCGCGCTCAAGAACGTCTTCAGAGGTTTCGGGCCGTGGGTTTGGGTACCTAAAACCATCAAACACACGTCCGCGCGTGTAACAGAAATTCTGGAGCATACCAATCATTGTCGATCTTCGTACCACCTACAATGACCTATAAATTATATTTTCCATTCAGTAAAGGAGTTGGCGAAATACTTGGAAGGCACTTACATCACCACTTCTTCTCGGTATAATATACGTCCAAAGCCCTTCCTTCGTACTGATTGTCCTACCAAACGTGATCCACGGCGCCCGAATCAATAAGATCTGCCCGCGGATCGGGTAGCAGTCCTTGTCTTCAATTCCCACCAAAAACCGAGCCCCAAGACCTGCGCAAACGATTACAGCATCAGGCGATGTGGGAACCTTACTTC